TTTCTTTCTTTTGTTGTTGTTGTTGCTGCTGCTGCTGATTTACCTTTGCGCGGCTGCATTCGCGCTGCGCACGCGCAAAACTTGTTAGAAGTTTTGTGTTCTATTCCTATATACATATATATATATATATATACAGATGTGTGTGTGTGTGTGTGTATGCTTAAAGCGTAGATTGTCGAGTTATCGCACTGGGGGAGGGAATCTCAGAAAGTCGGGTAGCGGTCCGTTCATCGTTTGCCGCAAATGTTCAAGGTTAACAACGCTCGAGAGCTCGAAACTGAAGTGTGTGCAGTTGCCAGTTGCCAGTTGCCAGTTGGCTATGGTTGGTTCTAATGCTTATACACACACATATACATATACATATACATATACATATATACATATACATACACATACGCACAGTGACGGGCAAAAGAATAGAATTCAGCGCTTTGTTGCCGGAGATTTCCCACAAGCCCAAGCTGATTAAGTTGCTGCAGTTGCTGCTCAGCACGAAATCCTTAAAGCTTTTCATTTAGCGATCAATTTGTAATAAGATTAACAAGTTTTCAACAGCATTGTTTTTCATCTGGTTTAATTAAAAACCTTTTAGTTGCCTAAGCAGTTCATTTGTTTGTTTCTCTTCAGAGCTTCAAAGGACTTTACTTTGGCAAGGACTCTCCTGCATCAAAATAAAATAAAGGAAATAAGAAAATGGCTTTAAGGAAGGCCAGAAATAAACCCCATCCCTGGACGAATGTACCAAAATCAGTGAAAACCGACGAACTTTCGGGCTGTGACTTGGCAGTCCTGAATCCTGGTCTTCCAGCAGAAGATACGACTAATGCTCAAGCAGAAGCTTTGTGCAGTTTGTGTTCCATTTAACAAATAAATAAAACCCATTTCAAAATGCATTTTCCATCATTTGCAAGTTGAAAAAGTTATGACAGATTGTGGCATTGGTGTTATTTTTGCAGCCGCAGCTATATTTGCCAACCAGTCGAGTTGCCAGTGCCCGATAGGGTAGCTGCAGTGGGAATATCTATATCTATATATATATATATATATATGTAAATAGTTGCCTGCAGCTGTCATTGAGTGAATAGTGAATAGTAAAGCAATTGAGTGAACTTTGCCTAAGCATGGCATCATTGCTGCACTTGCTCCTTGCAACACTGTTGCCAAATACGAATTAATTAATTAGTTGGTTTTTCGAAAATGTAACTATTTCTCTAACTGCATTATGAAGCTGCTTAAGATTAATGAAGAATTTCTGTGATATTAAATCAAGTAGGCTTTGTTTAGATTTAGGGTTGTCACAGCTCCGTTTGTTTGTTTGTTGAGCCCTAATTCATTTTATAAAAAGTGCTCGAAGCTGAAGCACACGTTTTATTTAACAATTTTCCAATTTAATTTCGAATATTTTTGGTCATTTCATTGCATGTATTATTTTTGCAGAAAGTAAAAAGAAATTCATTAAATATTGCAGTGAATCAAATTAATTATCAGAGCAACAACTGCAACAACGGCAACAATTGTGGCAACTACTTCTATCGAAATGGATACCAATGTGGATCTGCCTCCGGGTGAGAAGCGACTTGGACTGATCGCTGCCATGGCACACTTTAGGCCAAAAACAGCCACGCCCATTCAGTTCTACAACTATGTGAGGGAGTTTTGCATAATGCACGACTGCAGCATCGACGAGGCCATGGCGAGGACGCCCGACACGTGGACGAAACTGGGCAAGGCGCAGAGAGAACTCTACAATTCGGTAAGTGTCTCCGACAACAAACAACAAACAGCTCCAAAACTCCTGCTGATCAAAACTATATATATATATATATATATATATATATATGGCAGAAGATGCACGCAGCTCTGCCCATTCCTGTGCCGCGACACCAAATCTATTGTGCCTTGAAAATGGAACGCGCCGGCCGCTGGAAGATCAGTGCGATGCCAACGGCGAACGGTGCCTCCACCACTTACTCAATGGAATCCTATGCGCCGCCCATCAAGCCAACCAAGCGGCAAACACGGCTGCGTGCCCAGCAGCCACGCTTTGACAACCTGGCCGAATCTTCGCTGTGGTCGCCGACTCAGCCAAAGAAGTTGCAAGCGCAGCAGCAGCAGCAGCAGCCAACCAGCCCAGCCAAAGGGTGTCTCCATGAAGTGATAAGTGGGCGGCAAAAGGTGCAAGTGAAGCCTTTGTGTGCAGCTGCAATTGTGGTCAAACAGCAGCAGCAGCAGCAGCAGCAGCAGCAGCAGAAATTGAAGGAGCAGAGCGCTGCGGAGCAGAGGCAGAAGCGCAAGAAGAAGAAGAAGATGATGTCGCCGAGTGGTGCCTCCAAAACAGAGTGCAGACGAAAGCATTCGAGTGGTAAGCGAAACAAGAAAAACTCTATTTGAATGCAACCAAAAGCAACTTCTGCTGTCAACTTGCAACCAACTTGCCACTCGAAATATGTTTCAGTCCATGTCAGTCCATGTAACTAATATAGAACTGTGTCAAACTTTATTTGATTATTGATATGTATATATATATATATATATATATATGGAACAAAATGGGAATTGCCTGCTGAAGATCGGTTCAGTTGGCGATCAGTTTGTTGGCCACTTTGAAAACTCTGCCAAAGTCTGCATGAAATCAACTCGAATATTTTGTTTCTTTGTCTCTATATAAAAATAAAACAAACAAAATTTGGCAAACGGTTCGGGAGCAGGTAGCCAAAAAAAAGAAGCAAAAAACGCTTAGAAAAACCGCAAAATGCTTTTTAGGCATTTTTTTTTTTGTATTAGCTTCTGGGCCATAGAAACATCTGTATGTATGTACATAAATACATATATACATACATATATATATATATATATATATATATGTATATATAGAAACTATATGCCAGACATGTATTTACACACACACACACACACACATGCGTGGCTATGTATCTATGGCCGTACTTATGTATCTGTGCCACGATGTTCGCCAGCAGTTGATGAACCGTTATTCAGGCAACGCACACCATAGGCAATAAAACATTTGCGCTGCTGCTGTTGTTGTTGCTCCGCAGACAACTAACAACTAACAACAACAACATCAACAAAAAGACAAAAAGATAAATGAAATCAGCAAAAACCCAGCAAAAAAAAACAAAAAAGAAACAAAAATCGCAAATAAAAAAAATTTAATTTCGTTCTTATTTTTTTTTTGCGAATCGGCACGCAGTTGCCAGTTGAGCATTTGACCTAAATACACTCCCGCCTGCCAGTTGTTGTTGTTGTTGTTGTTGAAGTTCTCAATAGGCTAAACTTAACGCGCTTTTGTGCGTCGCCATAAAAGACAACAAAAACAAAAAAGAAACAAAAACGAAGGCAGCGAAATAAAATAAAATGGCAAATAAAAAGAATTCGCTGTTAGATGTTGTTCTTGTTGCTGTCGCTGCCGTTGCTGCTGCTGCTGCTGCTGCTAATTTCGCAAAAAAAAAGAATGAGAAAAAAATAATAATAATGCGAAAAAAGCGAATTCTATTCCGCGTTCGTCGGCGGCCGAAAAGCAGGCATGAAATGAACAACTGTACACAAAAAGCAAAATCTCACTGTCGCGCCGACGCTGACTGCGACGTCGACGTCGACTTCGACTGCGACAGCGCGTCACTTTGACTCTTGTTCTTTTGCTTCTGCTGCTGCTGCTGCTGCTTCTGCTTTGGTGCCTGCTAAATTTATAGCCACTTACGCATGACGCCAAAAAGCAGCTGACAAAAGCTCGCACACACACACACACACAACACACACACACACACAGCCAAATGAAAGTTGACTGCGTTTGCGTTGCTTTTGACTTCTAACTGCTTTTATAAACAGGCAGCATAGACATACATACAAACATACACACACACACACACATACACACATACACACACAGGCGCTAACTAGGCGGCCAACTAAACTTAACTAGCGCCCTCTGCTCTGTGTTGCCAAGCTGCAAAGGCGCAGCAGCAGCAAGCAGCGCCGATTACGCAATGCGTTCATTGCTTAACACACACACACTAGCGAAGAGGAGCAGCAGCAGCAGCAGCAACAACAGCGTTTTTGTTTCGTTTCCGTGATCGACGCGTTTGCAAAAAAAAAATAAAGAAAAAAGAAGAAGAAGAAAAATAAACAGTAAAAAAAATTCGCAAATAGCAAAAGTTGCGTTGCGTTGCGTTGCGTGCGACCCAATTGGAAATTAGACACACAAAGGCAGCCAGCGAGTGACAGAGGCGAACGAAGAACGAAAGAGCTTCTAGTGGCAGATGTAGTTGCCTCAATTGCCTAAGCACATCTCTGCTCTCCAAATATATATATATCTATATATATATATTTTTTTTTAATACATTTTTGTTTTACTGATTTGGTTTGCTAAATTTGAATAACAATAGTAATCGTATGCTATAATTCTGTATATCGAAATGATACCATTTTCAGCATGGCTTAGTTTAGCATTTGCTTTGTGTGCTTTTCTTCCTCTTCTGCCGTTTTCGTTTTTGTTTTTTTTTTTTTTTTTTTTGGAGCATTTGAGTTTTAAGAAGTCATTTATTTTGTGGGCTCTGCGAAGCGTTTGGCCTGTCATGTTGCCCAACCGAAAAGAGAAATTTTGCAGTCGGTTGTCGGCTGTGTCTGTCTGTCGCTGACCTTTGGCTTGACCGTGGGCGTGAGTTTTGCGAAAACAACAAAAAAAAACCGACGAATGCCGAAAAAAAAATAGTTGCGAAAAATGTTTCTAGCGGGTTTGCCGGCCAGTTGAAATTCAATGCTATCTACGCACACACACACACACACACACACCAGCGCAATCTGCGCAAATTAGTTCAGTGGGTGCCTGTGTGGCTGGCTCTTGTTGTTGTTGTTGCTGTTGTTGTTGTTGCCAGCTGGCGCGGCGTCATTTAAATTTAGCAGCGAGCGCCGTCAGCTGGCAAAATTAAGCATTGAAAATCATAAAGAGAAACAACAACAGAAATTCGCACATATCTGTCCTTGACACACATTGCGTATACGCAATTTACGCAGCCCGCTCGTTGCGTGTGAGTGCGTGCGAATTAGCGGCCCGCCTCTGCCTGTGTGTGTGTGTGTGTGTGTGTGTCTGTGTGACCTACTTACGTATCTGTCAGATACAGATAACAACATATGTTTTCAGCATTTCGCATATGCGAAACTAGCAGCGTATCAGCAGCTGCTTTGCCTACTCCCCAATCTCTTTCACCACTCTCTCTCTCTCTCTCTCTCTCTCTGTCTGTCTCTCTGGCAGCCGGAAGTGTTGCCGCTTTTGCGTTTGAGGAAGGTTGGAGGGGCTTGGTTGGTTTGGCATCTCTATCTCTATCGAACACTCAGCTGCATTATTGTCATTGATTGATCGCATCGCCTTGCCGGCAGTTCAAGAGGTGCAACAACAGACAAATTGCATGAGTGCAACCAAAAAAATAAATACAAATAAAAAAATAGAGAAACAAATCGTTTTAAATACTTGCATAATGGTCAGTGCATTTTCGGGCAGCTGCTTTTATGGCAAAATAAATGTGCGGCTAAAATGTCAAATGTTGGCCAAAGATCAGCGGACAGCCGCAGGTCAGCTGGGTCAACAGCAACCCAAAGCAGCCAATGAATAATTACGCGTTAATCAAATCCTGCAATTAATTAGACCAGACGAACCGAATTCTATGCGAAGTGGTTCACTGCTGGAACAGGTTCAATTCCCTCACGATTATATTTGAGCATCAACTGATTGTCCAAAGACAAGCATCTGAAATCTGCTCATTATGTAATCAGCTTCAACTTTAAATATGATTTCTAATCGAATAGACTGGGGTATGCCAGTAAGATGCTACTAAAATAGATAATGGTCCATGTACATATATAAGTTCAACGAGCAGATCTGGAAAGTTCGCTGCTGAGCAATAAATATTCCATGGGAATGAATACAGACGATATTTATAAAAATCAGGAAGTACGCAAACTTATCGAGACTATAGCTATATATATATATATATAGAAGATGTACACATGATATAGATATATATATATAAATATATGTTACTCCTCCTCCTCCTCCGATTTAATAGAATTAATATTATTGTTTGGTTTGCTGCTGACAAATTAAAAGTCTAGAAACTGGTCTATTTATGTATGTACATAATATTCCAATGTAATATTGATGCATGTGTACATACATATGTACATATGTGTAGTTGTGGCATGTGGGATATTTAGTCGGCATATTAAGTGCATTTCCAGTTAATATTACTTGCCTTGTTGTTGTCACTGTTGTTGCTGCCTCTGCATTTTATTGCTGTCTATTTTTATAATTATTATTTTTAATACATTTCTTCAATATGTACAAAATGTATGTATTTCTCTCTCTCTCTCTCCCTCTCCCTCTCTCTCTGTCTCTCTCATTTTTTGTATCTTTCTAATGGCATGCAACGGGCACGCTGCGTACGTGCCTTGGGCTCGACTCAATACAAGGCAGAGAAGTGCGGAAGTGGGTGGTGGGTGGGTGGTATGCATGTTTGTCACTAAACAATAGATAACAAACTGTGCATGCATATATATATATATATATATATATATATATGTATTAACAATGACGAATGAGCAACAAGCATATATCAAAAGCTGGCAAACGCACTCTTTCTCTCTCTCTCTCTTTCTCTATCTCTGTCTCTCTCTCAGTGCTGAACTGATAAACGTTCCACAGTGTTTCTATTGTTTTAGTTATATATTTATTTTGAATGTATTTATTTTATTGTTTGTTCTTGTTCTTAGAAGCCCAACGGTAAATTCCAAACATTTACGAATGGAACCCAATCGTAAGAGTCTAAAAAAGGATCTTCCTCGTATCCTTCATAATAATTACAATCAGCTAAGCTTTATTTTATGATTCGCGCGAATTGCTCGCATTGCTGGAAAAGCAAATGTGATTTTTGTGTGATTTGGTTTCCGTTCGATTGAAGAGTTTCTTCCTCTTCGATAGCTAATTAATCGATCAATTAATCGCTTGACAGGCAGCTGGCTTGAATTGATTAATCAGTTAAGTCTGTGAATAATAAGAGGCAGTGTTTTGTGGAAGCTTTGACGGGGTATTTTTGATAGTCAGCTGCATTTCATCAAACTTCTTCCTGCTCTCAAGAAACATTCAGATTAATCGATAATTGTTGTCGATTTGTTTCCTTTTAGTTTCTAGGAATTGGATCGATCGTTCAATTTCTTGATGCCGGGCAGACCGCTCACCAGGACACGGCACCAGTCGCAGTCGTAGCCATCAACATCAACAAATGCAAATGGCGAACGACAGATCGACAAATGCGAACTTGTCTAACTGCTCCTGTATGTCCTTGGCGCGAATATCGTGTGGCAAAGTGTGGCACTCATAAAAACGACACTCGCATTTTTGTTTTAAATATGAAATGCAGCAGCCAATTTCCAATTATAAGTAAAAAAAAAAAAAACAAAAATAATTTGTTTGTTCTGCAGCAATTACGC